CATTGTAGAAAGATATGTTGTATTGTTTCGTAGCTTCTTCTTCCTAGGAACCCTGCATTACAAGATTTGCACCACTGGAGACCCTCCCCTCTCTGTTCTAGATTCGTCCTGTAAATGATCCAGTCATTGGTGGGGAGGCACCTGTGGCTGATTTGCCACTGTTGAGAGGCGAATTTTGCTGGTCTTTCCTTCACTCCTCTGAACTATTTCAGCCCTCTTACTTGGTCCCTATGCAGATTAAGGTGTTTCTGCCATCTGTCTCCTACCTCCGACTGAACATCCACCCGGGGCCTAACCATCCTGTAGGTGCTTCTCACTGCTAACTCATGTAGATGCACTGGTTGCCCATTGCGTTCTCTTATCCACTGCCATTCCAGAGGGTCCACAACTAGCTCGGATAGAGGAGTTTCTGGTAGGTAGGCTTGCCATTGGATCCCCCCTTCCTTATGGCTCTGTAACACTCGGATCCGGTAAAGGTTAGATTTTTCATCCCATTGGACTGCGTCTGGGTGGTATTTGATTAGAGTGTCGTCCCCTCTTCTTTCAAAAAGGTTGATCATGCCCCCCTCTGATGTTGCCTCTACCACTGAACCTATTTGTAACGGAAAGTCCTCCACCCGTACTGCGACCCAGTCTTGTTCCTGCAAAATCCTGCCCTTCCTCAGGGACACCACCTAGGCTAGGGGGATCGAGAAAATTAGCTGGTCCAGTGAATCCTCCAGATTGAGAGAAGGTTAACGGAGACCCTAATTTTCAGACCACTTGCCATGCCATTTATATGAAAACCAAAGGGTCATTTTAATCAAACTTGCCACCACTTCGTAGAGTGGAGACCATACTACCGTTAACCATTTGTGTCCAGATTATGAGCGTGTTGAAGGCTCGGCCTAAGTTGTTGGGCTGTTTTCCAATCCTTGTTGTCCTCATCACATATGTCCCGTACCCTGAGGATCCCCTGTCCGACCCATGAAGCCCAGTGGGGGTGGGAACAACCATATACCCTTCCTTGTCTATCAGTAATTGCCATGTTTCCAAACAGGGGTTGGCGTAAGATTTCTTCCATCCGTACTGGAATGGGCCTATCACGGATTGGTAGCTACCGCCAATTCTTGATTAAGTTGCACCAAAAGTTCTCTCTCGCTAGGTTCTGTCGAGCCGCTCCTCTGTCTCCCTCCTCTCGCGAGCGCGTGTTGGCTCGGGGAATGACCCAATATCGGTCGTCTAACCATGTGAAAGGGTTTACTGTGTCAATAGTTCTGGGAGCCAGTCTGCGGATTTGTTCCAATGCCAGCTCACGCCATGGGATGTTAATTCCTACAATCAATTTTTTGATCCATTGGATTGATAAAGAGGCAGGAGGGATCCAACAGACCGAGACCTCCTCTGGTTTTAGGTTGAATAAGCTTGTCCCATGCCACCCAGCTGATCACGCTTTGTTGCTCGTGGTTCCCTCGCTAGAGAAATGCAACCAGTTGCCTCTTCAGGCTCTTGATGCTGCCCTTTCCCAGGTGCCAGAGGGCCGCTTTGTACCAGGTCGATGCCAACACTACATTGTTGATTGTTACTCCTCACAAATAGATATGAACCTTCACAGTGAGTGCCACTTTAGTAGGCTGCTCCTACCACTGATAAAATGAGAAGTGCGGCTGAAGTTGTTGTTGCAAGAGAAATAAAAAAATAAAAAGGTACACAAGTGGCATTTAGGAGGGCATGGGTTCACTTCCCGTTGACCTTTTTGCTTTTGTTTTTCTTTTAAATTTTCAGTTCCCATTGACCTCACGTACCTACATGGGTGCTTAATGCTTTAGCTAAGGCCCTCATTGAATCTCCCCGTTGGTACATGTAGACCAGGTTCTTTTTTTCATTTTTTTTTTCTTTTAGAAAAAAAGAAACCAAAATCTTTATTATGCTGGAAACTTTGACGCCGAACCTCACGCCCGGAGTAGGATGTGGGCCTGTAAGTGCGAAAAGTGGTGTGCCAAGGATTTTTGGGAAAGTGGGGTGGAGTCCCAGGTCAGAACAGGGATTTCCTGTGGCAAGGTTCTAGGGGCACGAGTGCAATAGGGCTAAGGGCAAGTTCCTTCTGGTCGGTTGGTATTTATGTCGTGCCGCATGAGGCCGATGGCATGCGCGGTGCTTTCAAGGCCGCCCGCTTCGTTTGTTTTGGGCGGCGGTTCGGGGCGACGTCTCCCCGGAAGGGTTGTGATTCCGATGAGTCGGGCCTCTGGGGGCAGCCACGTGGCGCCTATCGTCGCGTGTTTGGGTTAGGCCCTCTGATTTCTGGGGCTCGTCGATTTATTGCGACGCCGACAATTTTCGCAAGGCGTGCGGGGCCAATACTCTGCGATGGAATTCCACAGTACTAACGTAAGTTGGTGATACGGGAGAAGGAGGCGGAAGGGAGGGAAGTTGGTAGCGATAACCACGAAGTCGGGGGATATGAAGTAGTGCGAGTTATCCGAAGTGGGAAAATCGGGACACCTCGGGTCGCTGGTCGTAGCACAATGAAACTCCCTAGGGCACAATCGATTCTCGGTTAGGCAGGGGAATTCCGAGCGTTTCTGTCTGAGACACTCGTTTACCTAAGGATTGAAATACTCCGGATCCCACAACGAGTTTGAGTCTCTCGAGCGCGTCATCTTGTCATTGCGGTGTAAGGGAATTCTCCCGCACGCATCTAACCGGTAAGGGGGATTTTTTCGATGTGATATCGGAATTCCCTTCTGTTTGGGTGCGTAGGGGAAAAATTATCCCTGCCTACCCGATATCGATGGTGTCAAGTTCGCCAACGGTTACAAAGCGTCTTGCGTGGATATGTATAGGCTGCGCAGATCAGATCGCGCTTACACACATCCCCGCGAGTTATTGGCTTATTTCTGGACAAACCTCCATCCAATCATCTAATCACTCCGTGATCCCGTATGCCATCGTATACGAGATGCAGTAGCAACAGTAGCTCAAAGAGGGGATAAACAGCAGGGGAAACAATATTGATGACTACGCAAAATTCCTACTATGCTCGGTATGCAAAAACGACAAGCAAAGGCAAGGATCAAGCAAAATGACACGCAATCCGACATGACATTCATTCATTCATCCATTCATTCATGCAACAAACGAAATCGAGATCAGTCGCAAAACGAGTATGGAAACCGAGTCAAGATTCCGAAAACAAAAAAATGGGCGAATCGCCCTGAGATCAAAATTTATATACAGAAGCAAAGAGGGAGAAAAGACATAGAAAACTGCAAATCCTCGCCCATCAACCTCAGCTCCCTCTTCCTCTCTCTCTCTCCGATGCGGACAGTCTGTCGTCACGCACCAACCCACGAAGTCGTCACCCCGCTTAGTCCTCCCGCACCCGTTAGGTTCACCCGCGCCCACAGTCCGTCGTGGCCTGCGTCAATCCCGCGCGTTTGGCACCAGCTCGTCGGGTCGCCCAACTCCCACGTCAACTCACCTCTTACTTCGCTTGTTTGCCGATCCTCACTGATCGTGCTACCCCGAGCTTCCAACAACTGGTTAAGAGAGCTATCTAATCACGCAGCCGGAATTTATAGCGTGCATGCATGCGTGAAGAACACGAAATTGCAAGGACTTAGAAAGCAGATTAGGAGAGGAAGCGCCTACGTTCTACATGGCCAGATCGCGGCATGGGGGACGTAGCCTCTTTCCACGCATCGATCCGAGCATGCAGTCCGCGGGCTGGCTGGACACAGCAAGAGAAAGTGAGAGCGGGAAATACGAAGTTCAAGAAGAAAGATACAGTTACAATGGCGCCCGCCCAAAATTACAGTTACACATATGATTAAGAACGCCGACTGATCAGAGTTCCGTTGCAGCCGCTCAAAGAAGCGCATAAGCAAAAAGCGTCGCGCGACAAAAGAACATCCTAATTGCAAAATTCCTAAATTCCTATCTAATGCAGAAAAACGAGAAGCGCAATCTCCGAAAAGAAAATCCGAAATTCCGAGAGCCCTTGGGGCTCTACAAGATTCAAAAAGAAAACTCAAAAAGAACGAAACAAACTTCCCGCGCGGTCTCCGCGCCTAAAATCCAACAGCAGCACCGAAAAGAAGCGACGCCAATCGTTATTAATTGCGCCTGGTCAGCTCGACAGCCACTCGATCAATCATCCCGGGACTTGCCCGACCCGAACCCAACCATCCGAAAAGAGACGATGCAAAAAGGTGACGAAACGAGGACACTGATGCAACTTTCCGTCAATCCCGATCTCCCGTAATTGGCCCATCCATCCCAGCTTAGGACCCGTCATTGCTACCGCGCAGAAAATCGCGCAGAACAGAAATTGGTTCGTCACATATGTGACGCCCAGGGGGTTCCAATCATAAGCAAGTTCCTGCTTGCTTGAATCTTGACACGTGTCGATTTCTCTAATCGATCGACACGAGGAGCTTTCTGCATTGCCACTCACCGTGTGAAGGAGTGTGGACGTCATCCGACGTGGCATACGGGCTCTGTCCTACAAATTCCTCAGGAGGTTTTTTTGTCAATGTAAGGAGGGGATTATTCGCGCCATCGCCGTGGCACGCACACCAATCAACCGAGTATCAATGTCCAACGGCGAGGGGGAAAGGAAGACGATACATGGGGGCATGGCGAGGGGGAGGGTTAATCGGAAGCGGGGTAAGCATCGTTCCACCTGGGTTACTGTTTCCGGGAGCTTCTGGTAACGGACGATCCTGTGGAAGTGGGGGAAGCGATTACCAATGTGGGGGAGGGAGGAGAGATAGCCGGGATACAAGGTGGTAGAGGTGCGGAAGAGTGTCGCGCAGAAATGGTCGTAATCTTCGCATGCGGGGATAGTCACCGTAATCATACAATAGACTTCAACCATGTTGTGGCCTCGCCATGCGGCACTGAAGAGAAGGGTGTGGAGGCAGAAATCGGGGAGGGCGCATCGGGTCGAGGGATGGGGGTGAATGGTAACGACGAGGCGGGTGGCGTAGAAGAATCGGAAGGTGTCTATGGGGAAGGGATTGCGGGGGAAGGTGACACGGGTGGTAATCTAGTGGAGGGTGAGGTGATCAAGGGGACGACGGGATAACGACCGGGGACGAAGCCCGATGGCCCGCATCGGTACGGGCTCGAACTGATGGACGGTCGGAGGCGGAGGGGGAGGGGGATCGGCTTCGTCGCCGCCCTGCCGGTGCGCTCCAAGTCTCAGCCTGTTCTCCATCTTCAGGCTTAGGTGGCTCGGGATCGCGGGCCGGATCGTCGGTGATCGACAAATTTGCCGCGCTGGCGAACTCCAACTGTCGTTTCTCGGCCGTGATCTCGTCTCTTTTGTGCGCCGCTTCGGGGTCTTCCGCCCGAGTGTTCGTCTGCTCCGCTTCCTCCGCCGAGATCTCCCACTCAGACTCCTCCAGCTCTAGGTCCTCCTCTTCTTCCTCGTCTTCTTCCTTCTCGTCACTCTGCTCGCCCTCGCTGTGCTCACTGTAACTGCCTTCCTCCGGGGTTTCTTCCTCCTCGTCCTCTTCAGTGGCTTCTTCTTCTTTGATTGCTATCTCTTTGTCCTCGGAGGCTGCTCGATCCTGGAAGACGGGGAGATCGATGATCTCCCGCGGGTTCAGGTAATCCCGCTGCGATGGCGGGTTAGAGCTGCTTCGCGGCTCCTCCAGGCACGCTGACCACTGAAGGTACGGCGTCAAAGTCCGTGTGAGGACGTGCGGAACGGGGCTCTCGTCGCTCTGCGAGACGATCTCGAGGGGGAGATCGTCGGCCAACTGCGCAAGGGGGACCGTGGGCTCCCGCACGATCAGGTGGCGATGGCCGGGTCATACCGATCCGAAGAGGAAACCGAGAAGATCGCCCTCCGCGTCTGTCCTCGAGGCCTGGATGATCATCAGCTCCAAGTACTTAAACCACTCGCGGTGTTCCTCGTCCCTTGTCCACGTAAGCCTCACTCCGACGAGGCACACCGACAGATCTATGAAGTGTTCGCACCACAACCGCCACTGCCTTGGATCGAGAAGGGGAAATACTAGTGGTTCCAAGCAGAAAGAGAAGCGAGAGTGGAGCCACTGCCTCTGCTAACACGACCGCCTGAGGACTGCCCGTGAATCGTAACTCGGTCGCTGCGTACACCCCCTGGGTGCAGAAGAATTGCATGAGCCGCAGAAGATCCAGATTGAGCCGCGAATGATGAACCTTCCGGATCGCTGAGATATAGCCTCGTGTCGCGAGCAGATGATCGTCGAGAGCTCGCTCCGTAAGAAAACTCATGGCAAAGGTGGAGGGGACAGAGTATGGGAAGAGACGGGAGATGCAGGGGAGGAAGAAAGCGATGGAGAGTCGTCGTCTGTTTCCATAGCCAAGGAAGAGGAAGAGGGTGCAGGAGATGGGGAAGAAGGGAGGGGACGCAGGTAAGGCATATGGCGAACGATCGGCCGCGCCGATCAACTCCCCGAGACCTCCAGCACGAGGCACATGGTGTTCACTCCGTTCGGTCCAAGCTCGATCACTCGGAATCGCCCGAAGAATCGTGGCGCTATCTTACCTTGGCGAGCACATTTCCTCACCTGCACCAAATCCCCTAATTTGTACCGGGGCCGTGGACCCGCGTTCCCGTTCCGGGCCTCGTCACTACGGACCTGCCGGCCTTGGGCCAACTCGATCATTTTTTGTCGTTTTCGGGCCAATCGGGGCAGGGACCGTTCCATCAATTCCATGTGCCGTGTGGCCTTGTCTCGAACCGTGGCCCTGGTGGGCCGTCGGTTTAGTGAAGATTCGTCCGGGAGGCTTGGTATTGAAACGCAGGCCACGCTATTGGTCCTTAATTGAAACGGGCTCAGGCCCGTCGATTCGTGGGGCGTCCCTCAATGGACTGCCAGGATATGATCTACGATATCGGGGCAGGTCCAGGGGTCCCGTGCCACGATACTGCATCGTAGCACATTTTTTATCACCCTATTTGCGTTTTCTACCAGCCCGTTAGATTGCGACATGTGGGGCGCAATATTCCGAATAGCGACGCAGTGTACGACCAGATTCCTCAAGACTTCTCCTCTGAATTCTACCCCATTATCGATCAAAATTTCCTCCGTGTCCTGGTGCATCCCTAAAAACCGATTGACGTATCACGCAATTTCGGCCGCCTGTCGCGTACGACAGGGATATGCCTCCATCCATTTCGAAAAATGGTCTACGAGCACGAGTAGGATTGAATATTCGCAGCTATTGGGTCCAGGGGGCACCACAATATCGGTAGTGTTCATGCTAACCCTTTGAAGCGGCCGTTCCACTACCGTCGGTACTATCGATCTTGGCGGCTGAATCGGCGCCTTGTCAGCAGAGCAGACCTGACCGTTCGTGACGATGAATTTCACATCGTCACGAATATTAGACCAATACCACTCATTTTTGTCGATTGCCGACTCCGTAATTCGTACGGCAAAATGGGAAGCCGTTTCCTCGTGCGCTGTCTTTACCCAGTCATACCTCATGAACGGGTGCGGTACTACCATCCAAATCCCGCTACCATCCGTTTTCCGTTTTTCCAAGCATCCCTCAATCCAGCGGTAGTCCCGAGCCCTTTCATTGGCCCTCCTCTGATCTTCCCTGGTGAAGTCCTGGAGGGGGTTACCCACTAGGGTAGCAATTAAGGCGATATCCGTCCATTCCTCGGCCGTTTTAAACATCCAGGTCTTCTCTAACCCTTCTGACGTAGCATCTAAAAAGCGAGCCTCGATCGAGATCTTATTAACCCGATACAAGGGGCACAACCAAGGCTTGTTGACATTTCGGTATTGGATGCACGAGCCGTGGGCTCGTGCGACACACTGTCGACAGTCTATCCATTCCGCATATCCTTCTTCGCTAGGGCGCATAAAGACCGAATATGCGCGAGAAATTGCTTCACAAAAATAACAAAATTTATCAGGCAGGGAGAGGAGAGATGAGGAGGAGAGGGGAGAGAGAGGAGTTGAAAAATTACCTTCGTCACCCATTGCCACCTGGCTTGCTTCTTGCCACGTGGAAGGACCGCCACGTGTCCGTACTTGGGCCCATTCGTCGATTTCGGTTCCTTCCACGGGATGACCTCTTTCGCATCAGGCACTTTAGCTGGTCGATGCAGACGTGTCAGTCCGTTCGCGTTGCCGTGTCTCTCCGTCTTTCGATGGATGATGTCGAAGTCATACTCCTGTAGGCACACCGCCCAACGTCCAATCATGCCCGTGTAATTAGAGAACCTCTTTAGTGCTAGCAAGGGATCATGATCAGTCACTAGGAGGAACTTCTGTCCGTACAGGTATGGATGGAAGTGCTGGATTCCCCACACTACCTCGTAGCATTCGCCCTGCGGGGCCAATTCATTCCTTCGCTCGTCTGGTACTGTTCGTGACGCATACTCGATGACATGTTCACGGCCATCGTTCCTCTTATGCACTAAAATAGTGAAAATAGCCTCCGGTTGCCAGTCCATAATGAGAATGAACTGCTTCGAGGGGTCCGGTCGGATCAAAATAGGTGTCGTTGTCAGAGCTTCCTTGAGTGTCGCGAAGGCCTGCTGGCACTCCGCATCCCAACTGAGGGGCTGGTCCTTCCGCAGCAGGTTCGTTAGCGGTCATGCAATCGCGGCGAAGCCCTTAATGAAACGACGATAGTACGAGGCGAACCCCAAGAAGGCTCGAACCTGCGTTAGCGACATGGGAACAGGAGTCTCTCTTAGCCGCGACTTTTCTCGAGCCAGGCTGCAGTCCTCCACGCGTCACGACGTAACTCAAAAACGAAATTTCCGAAAGGAAAAATTCGCTCTTCTCGAGCGCGATCTTGAACCCAGCATCTCTTAGAGCACCCAGTGTCCATTCGATATGTTGCACGTGCCCGTGATAAGTCTCCGAGTAGACGAGGATGTTGTCCATGTATGCAATGACACAAAAGTTAATCATCCCCTGTGTGAGCCGCGTCTTGTTGACAAAGTTCTGGAACGTGACGTTCATGGCCCGCTGAAACGTGGCCGGCTCGTTGCAAATCCCTATTGGACATCGAACCCACTGCCACGTGCCTTCAAACAATATGAAGGCCGTCTTCGACTGATCGTCCTCCTTAATCAGAATGTGATGGAAGTCATGCCGAATATCAAACTTGCTGAAATAAATAGCACACTCAATCGCATCCAGCAAATCATCGATCCGGGGGAGGGGATACACATTTTTTATCGTGATGTCATTCAGTTTACGATAATCAATGCATATGCGGATCAATCCGTTCTTTTTCGGTACTAATACTAACGGGAACGACCATGGTCCGGTGGCGGGTTCAATCCAACCGCTTGCTTCGAATTCTTGAATCCGTCCGAGAGCCTTTTTTCGCTCTGCTAGGGAATACCTGTAAGGTTTGCAATGAATCGAGGAATGATTTCCCGTTCGGCCCGGCAGACACTCGGGGCGTCGTTTTTTTTTTCCTCTTTTGCCTCGCGCGTGGCGTGGTCGGATCCGTAGTGTGGCTCCAGAGGTTTCTCGCGCCCAGCGCCGCGACGTGGAGAGATACACCGGTCGTTCGTATGAGACTGAATCTGCTCCGGAACATGGGGAGATACACAGGTTCCCTTTTGTTCGTTTGTTTCGTTTCTTTTCTTTTTTGTCGTTTTGCCAGTTTCCTTTTGTTCGTTTCTTTCCTTTTTTTTCTTTTTTCTGTCGTTTTGCGGGCCCGTTGTTTTCGTTTTGGCTTGAGGGCCTCGCTGCACTGCTCTCCAAATGTGCAAATGAGACTGAATCCACTGCTAGAACACGAAGAAATACACTGCAATCTTTTTTGTCTTTTGCGCACGTGGAGAGTACCAAGCGTTTTGCCTTTTTTTTGTCGTTTTGTAGACGTTTTGCCTTTTTTTTGTCATTTTGCAGGCCCTCCATCGGGGAAGTTCGTTTAGCATGGCTCCTGCGCAAGGGTCACATTCGCAAATCGAGGGGGACGTTGCACAACTGCGAGTTCATGGTGCTGTATGACTAACGACAGTCCAATGTCTGTGTCTGTCACACTAATCGCTCTTTTGTATTCTTCCACGATGTCTGCGATTAGGTGGTGAATCGCATCAGGCACATATCATGGTAAGTGCAACTCATACGACTCATCCCATATCCTCACATTGATATGCTTTGTATTCATCCGCTTGACATTTTCTGGCGGGGGCGCGGAGATGAATGAGTTATCTGATCGCCAAGAGAACACCGTGGCCATCATCTGCGTATTTTGTTCTCGAATGACCACATGTTCTTCAGGTGTTACTCCATCTCGAACGTCTTGCCACATCACAGGTTTCGTTGCAATCCTGATTCCGAGCCCATTCTCGAGGCGCTTGGGGGGTTCCAAAGAGTTGATCTTTGCCCCCAATCGCAACAATCGAATTTCTTTTGTGGGTGTCAACAGAGACTTCGGGAGATCCGTGATATCGCAGTAGTGCCTTTTGTCGTTATATCGGGCGAGAAGAGGGGAGATCCCTTTGTACAGGGTTCGAGGGGGTTCCAAAGAGTCGACCATCCTTGAAATTTGTACGAGATGTTCTCCCATAATCATAGCTTGTGTTCTTTGCAAATCTTGGTTAGTCCTGCTCATTGTTTTAACATTTGTCCGTTGCACGGGGTACTGGATTCGTTCTTGTGCCATCTCCACGATTACGGGATCATCATCATCCTCGCTGCTGTCTGCGTCCTTGTATGTCTGCCCGTTGTCCCAGGTAATCATACGAAGGGTCCCCGTCATCGCGGGAGATACTCGTCGAGCTAGGTTAGCGGTAGTACGAAGGGTCGGTCTCATCGGTACAACATAAGGTTTCCCTCCCGTATTTCGGAGGATAATCGACCGTCTTTCGAAGTCCAGATTGACTCGCAGCGCTACCAGGGCGGGAAGGCCGAAAAGAACGTCGTAAGTATTGACATTTAATACTACGACATCTCCCAAAGCATGCATCTTCCCTAATCGAAATGCAACATTGGTCATCTGTCCCACTGTTTTAATCTTTTCTTCGTCTACGGAAACGAGCTGATCTCTTTCTGCTAGCATAATTAAGTCGTTCTTTCTTCCTGCTCTTTCAACTACCCGTAGCAAAATAGCCAAAACAACGGCTCCTGAATCAATGATGGCATTGTATGGAATTTCCCACACCTCAATGTCACATTCCGTGGATTTCCATGGGATAGGTTTAATCCGCAGGAAATTATCATCCTTTTGGATTAGCCCTATGCGTATAGGATCGGAAGCGCCTGCGGCATTTTCGTCTGACATTGGTTCTTTCGTTTTCGTGTTGGTCGTTCGGGCAAGGGCAAATCGCTTTCGATTTGCTTTGCAGTGCTGCAGCATATGTTCGTTAGTTTGTTCCGATATCGAAAGCAAATGACCGATCGGAAGAGGAATCCGATGATCCAATGCTCGGACGATGTTTAGAACATCGATTTCGCCGGTGACGAAGGTGGGTCCTCTCGACTCCATCTCTCCTCGAGAAGGTCGCCACTTTGCCACTTCTCGTTGTTCCGGTGCGGGTCTAATCGTACCGATCATCCCGAGCCCCGGATACCCAAGTGATACGTATTGATCCAACGGAATGAGCTCAGCAGCCTCCTCTTTGGTAGCTAACGTACTTCCTCCGCTTTCCATTTCTTCCATCAGTGTTCCTACCCATCCCGACCCGTTAGCGATTGGTGTCGCAGCTACTGGTGCGGCTCCGACCCGTTGTTGCGGGGGCCGGTGGGGGCAATCCCGAGCTAGATGCCCCGGTTGATGGCATGTGTAACAAACGTTCAGATTGCCCGCGGTCCCTCCGAGAACAGGCGTCGGGGCCAATCCCTGTTGGATTGGGGCGGCGCGTACCGCGATGGGCCGCATATTTCTCATCATAGCCTCCAGCCGAGCTCTTGTTGTTCCTTTTTGCTTTCTTGGATTAGGCTAATTAGTGTTTTGGTCAGCTCCAAAATGGCGGTCGATTCACTCGACCGTACGGGGTTCTCGATCGGTGGCGGGGGTGCCGTCATTACAGGTGTTGGCATCATAGGGGCGGGCATACCCATAATCACACCCGACGCCGGTCGTTTAGGGGGTATCTGCTCCAGATAGGTAACAGGACCTGACACAAACCCCATGTTTTCGAACTTGTTTTGCAACGCGGCCAGCTCAGCCTTGGCCCTCGCAAGTTCGGACGAGTCTCCTTCCTTAGAATGGTCTTCTCCTTCTAGGAAACTCGCTGCGAACTTTCATCCCATTTCTTCTGCAGCAGCCATGATTTGCTGCAGCGTATGATTGATGGGGGAGAACTGTTTTCGCAGTTTTGCCCTTATCGTTCGGCTGCGAAGTCCATCGATAAACAAATCTCTTCCTACTTGCTCACCTCGCCCTGTTTTTACGAACATCCGGTAGAACCGGTTTCGATATTCCATAACGGATTTGAGGGGTTTTTGAACTCGATCTTTAATCATAAAGAGTGTTTGTTCCGAATGGATGTAATCGAACGGATTCAAAAAATCTCGTTCAACAGCCATTTCGTCAAAACAGACATATTATATTTTTCGAACAAAATCAAAACTGATTTTTTTTGCCAAAATCCGGTCGGAATTTTTCGCTCCTGGGGGTCCGGCGTTCCCAGAACGCCGGACCCCCTACATGTATCTGGTCTATGGTTGAGACCAGATATAATTTATTATTATTTTTTTTTTATTTTTTTATTTTTTTTTTTGTATTTGGTCTCAACCATGGACCAGATACATGTAGGGGGTCCGACATTCTCGGAACGCCGGACCCCAGGAGCAAAATATTCCGGCCGGATTTTGGCCAAAAAAACTAGGTTGTTTGGCCGGACGTCCGGGATCCCTGGGTTGTCCGACCGGACGTCTGGTCGGACGTCGGACGGTCTCGGACCGGACAAGGGTTGTCCGACCTAGCGCAAAAAAAAAAAAAATTGAAAAAAAATCATGTGGCTTCTACCTTGCATAAGGTGTATGCCACCAAAATTTTGGCTCATTCGAGCTTGTAGAAAAAAAGATAAAAATCCTCAAAGTTTCTAATCCCCACCTATACCCCTCCTATCCCCACCAAAACCCCTCGTACCCCCCCTTCCCACCTCAAATAGCACCCTATCACCAAATGCTCAGAAAATTCTGAATTTTTAAATGGGGGGTCTCTATGGCATGCGCAACACTGTCATAATATTTTTTTATTTTTTTTTTTAATGCCAAAAAGTGGTTGTCCGGGATCCTGGACAACCCCCCTACCGGACGGTTGGGGGAGACGTCCGGCCATTGGACGACTGGTAACCTAAAAAAAAAGTCAGTTTTGATTTCGTTCAAAAAATATAATATGTCCGTTTTGGCAAAATGGTTGTTGTTCGAAGGTCGAAAGATCCACCCATACATAAGTATTGAACCAATGATGGGCATCTCCTCCTAATCGAGCGGGAATGTTCACCTGAGCCTCGTTATCGTCATACTGCTGTGTGCGGAATGTGGCTAGCCATGCTCCAGCAAGATGGTGCGCAGGGTCAAACAAATGGAGGTCAAGGGGCGTCATAGGAGCTCGTGCACGTGGTACGGGTTGATTAGGATTTTGTTGGGGATTCAGGTTCTGTTGGGGGTTCTGCTGATTAGCATTCATGTTGACGGCCCATCGATTAGCCGATCTGCTTCTTGTGACGACAGGGTCGCTTCTATGCTCGTTCCGAGGTCGAGGTCGCCCTCGGTTAGCCAGATCGCTCAATTATCGTGCTATTGGTCATACAGCCCGGCCACGTATCGGGCTCCGATACCAACCTCACGCCCAACGCGACTTCCTGATCGGAGTAGGATGTGGGCCTGAAAGTGCGAAAAAGGGTGTGCCAAGGATTTTTGGGAAAGTGGGGGTGGAGTCCCAGGTCAGAACAGGGATCTCCTGTGACAAGGTTCTAGGGGCACGAGTGCAATAGGGCTAAGGGCAAGTTCCTTCCGGTCTGTTGGCGTTTATGTCGTGCAGCATGAGGTCGATGGCATGCGCGGTGCTTTAAAGGTCGTCCGCTTCGTCTGTTTTGGGGGCGGCGTTTCGGGGCGAGGTCTGCCCGGAATGGCTGTGATTCCGATGAGTCAGGCCTCTGGGGGCAGCCACGTGGCGCCTGTCGTCGCGTGTTTGGGTTAGGCCCTCTGATTTCCGGGGCTCGTCGATTGCCGCGACGTCGGCAATTTTCTCAAGGCGTGCGGGGCTAATACTCCGCGATGGAATTCCACGATACTACCGTAAGTTGGTGATACGGGAGAAGGATGCAGAATGGAGGGAAGTTGGTAGCGATAACCACAAAGCCGGGGGATATGAAGTAGTGCGAGTTATCCGAAGTGGGAAAATCGGGACACCTCTGGTCGCTGGTCGTAGCATTGTGAAACTCCCTAGGGCACAATCGATTCTTGGTTAGGCAGGGGAATTCCGGGCGTCTCCGTCTGAGACACTCGTTTACCCAAGGATTGAAATACTCCGGATCCCACGACGAGTTTGAGTCTCTCGAGCGCTTCATCTTGTCATTGCGGTGTAAGGGAATTCTCCCGCACGCATCTAACCGGCAAGGGGGATTTTTCCGATGTGATATCGGAATTCCCTTCCGTTTGGGTGCGCAGGGAAAGAGTTTTCCTCGCCTACCCGATATCGATGGTGTCAAGTTCGCGAACGGCTACGAAGCGTCTCGCGTGGATACGTGTAGGCTGCGCAGATCAGATCGCGCTTACACGCATCCCCGCGAGTTATTGGCGTATTTCTGGACAAACCACCATCCAATCATCTAATCAATCCGTGATCCCGTACGCCATCGTATACGAGATGCAGTAGCAACAAGAGCTCAAAGAGGGGATAAACAGCAGGGGAAACAGTATTGATGACTGCGCAAAATTCCTACTATGCTCGGTATGCAAAAACGACAAGCAAAGGCAAGGATCAAGCAAAATGACACGCAATCCGACATGACATTCATTCATTC